TCACCTCTCCTTCTGGAGTTGGGATTCCAGGTTCTTCTTACCTTGAACAAAATTAAATGAAAGGAGCAAAAAGCAGTGGCAGAGTTTATTCAAGAAAGTAAAAGTGAAGAGTGGGAGAGAAACTGGCTCTGCAGATTGAGCTTGAGCCGAGTAAATAGAAAAAGAGGGAGAGAACAAAGATAAAAGTATACACTATATCTAGGACACACAGCATGGGCTATGGGAAAGTTAGGATGGCATCAGCACCTCAGGGCTCCCTCTCTTCTGTATTGTCCAAATCTCGAGGAAACACACCTGTGAGAACTGCAGGTGGTGCTGGGATCTCATGTCTCAGGCTGATATCAGCTAGGCCTCCTATTGAAAACCCGCTCGAGCTCTCACAAACTCCGTATGTCTGGGGTCCTGTAGTTAACAGGTCACACCTTCTTCCCCAGGCAGATTTTGCCTCCACACCCTCTCTCCTACCTCAGGAGTGCTGGGATTAAGGTGTGCAGCATGTGCTCGGCTCTGTCAGCTGTTCAATCCAGCACACACCAAACTGTTGCTGTTGGAAATTTTGTGGTGCAGTTTAGGTCTCAAATCAGATTAGACCAAAAAAAAAATTACCCCAGGAGGTTCTATCCTAATCACAAGTCCTTCACATCTGTAGCTCAGCAAAAGGAAAGTTACACAGAGAGCATGAGAGAATTCAGCAATGGCACAGCAGGTTTTCTACTACAGAAAGAAAGACGCAAGTGTCAAAGGAGGCAAATGCACTCTGACCAACAGCCAATGAGGAGACGGGACTCCGGTCTTATACAAAGAGCTTAACATGGACTTAATGATATCACCACTCCTGTAGATCAGGTATCCTGGTCACAGCATCACAAGGCTGAAATCAGGGTGGACAGATTGAGTCCTTTTTTTTCCCCTCCAGATTGAGTTCTTTATAGAGACTATGAGAACAGTCCATGATCAAATTCATTCAGATATTTTGGTGTGTTCACACCCAGCTCAGTTTCATGGAATAAAAACATATTTACAGGCAATTTCATTTATTAGACAGCCACTCAAAGGTTTAGAGGTGAATGAGTGATTATTTGAAAGCACTTTGAAATTATTCAATAAGCAAGCAAAAGTTGAAGAAGGTTAACTCCTATGATACAAATTGATTAAACCAACTCCTAAAAGAGTGAATAAACTTTGGAGTTAAGAGAATTGAATTGACAGCTCTTTTGGCTGTATGAAGGGCCTTTGTGGGGTGACAACTACCCCAATTTCTTTCTGTCTGACTTTCTTTATCTGTAGTATGAAGACAATTACTGCACTGATTGTTCCACAGGCTTGCCACTAAGACCAAATTTACTAAAATATGCACAACACTTTATGCGGTGTCAAGCAGTTTACAGATTTGACTCATTACTAGGCCTACTAATAGTCACTTGTCTGAAAATCATGGATTATCTCAGTGAATTCAAGTTAGTCTGAAGTATGATTGTGAAGATTCTTTAAGTATAAGAGAGCCCCCAGGGAAGTCCTCCATCCCTTCCACCAGTGAGGCGAAATGGAGAAGCCCACCATGAAATAGCAGACCCTGCCAGACTCAAATCCACCAGAGCTTCTCTCTCAGTCCTCGAAGCCTCCAGAGCTGTCAGATATAAATGCCTGCTGCTCAGAAGCCACTAGTTGATGGTATTTGTTCTAACAGTCCAAACAGACTGACATCAGAAGTAAAGCAGACGCCTGCCTTATAAATATCTTGAATTTGACTCTCAGAATAAAACTAGCAGCAGCCCAGTAATCTTGACTGCTTTGAATTACATTGGAGACTCATCTATTTTTCCAATGGAATTCAATTACATATACTTACATTTTTCTCAAGCCTGAAACTGGTTTATTTTTAAATGTATTGGACAAGATTTAAGGAAAATTAGGTCACTGCCTTGGAATTTTCCAATGTGGCAGAAAAATTACTTGTAATGATCATGTAGATACAGTACCTCAGAGAAAGCTAATAAACACATAAATAATTTTAAAAGAAAAAGGGATTGAGACAAGACTGATCTTCATGGAAAAATAAATGTAACCGAGGGAAGATTATTTAATATAGAGAATTCTACATGTGTGTTTCCAGAAAAACAGTAGAGGGCAACATCTACACAGGCTCGTTTTTGAAATGATTGTATAACATCAAAACAAAACATGAGCTAATGATTCATGAACTATGGGGCTTTCCAAAACTCACATATTAGAGGGATATTTATGCATGAACGCATCCTTTGTTTGCATCCCTTCTATTTTAGAATAACACACTTATGCCTTATCAGAAGGTCTCCACTAAGATCATTAATTTTAAAAGTGCTTCCTCGGTGAGTCATGTTAGATTGCTCATCTGTCTCCTACATGAAGGGACAGAATTTTTCCCCTCACGTGGGTTTGCCAGATGAGGTTGTTGAAGTAAAAAAGGGTAAGGATTAACGGAACCTTGGAAACAAGGTTTTTGTTTTTGTTTTTTTATGTTTTTTAAATCTGCAGTCTGAGCAGAGTTACTAGTTTGCAGGGAGGTGCTTCAGGTCCATCTGGTGGCACAGGGAAATGGACGCTAGGTTGTCCCCTTCACTTCTGGCACTGCAGCCCCTGCTGCTTCTCTCTGAAGCACTGAAGCCAAAGACCCTGTGTGACCCTGGATGTAGGTACATGGATAACAGACAAACTTCCAGCCCTCACTGGCCATTTTAAGAGATAAATGGCAAAGTCCTTCTGACCTTTGAGGTCTATTTTTACTTTCCAGAGTGCTGAGATTTGTTGTTAAACACTTTCACAACTGGAAGTCTGAGTGGGTACAGAAGTGACAGAGGTGCCACATTATGACACCAGGGGTCAGGGACACCAAAGGGGAAGGAAATTGAGTAATCAGGCCACAGCTTGCCTGCCTTTGAGTTGCACAAACAAGAGGCAAGAGGTAACAGGCAAGGCTGTCTCTCTCTCTCTCTCTCTCTTTCTCTCTCTGCCTCCCTCCCTCCCATGCACACACACACAAACATACACACACCTTTCAGTCCCTGCCAACGGTGGCTCTCTGATGTATGCAGGGACATTTAAGACCTGCTGGGAAGAGAGCACCTGCCACAGAGTAGTTTTTAGAGAACTGTGTAGATTATAAAATAAAAATCTCCACTATACTCATATTACTGAAAATTTTCCCTATTTCACAGACAGCTGGATGTGGTTTAACAGTATGTTTTATAAGGAAGCAAACTGTAGTAAAGAATGAGGAAAATAAAACACTTAACCCTACATTGTTTTGGCAAATATTTATTGAGCGCCAAGCCTTGTTTTGAGTACCTGAGGCACAAAACTGTACAAAATGTACTGCGTCCTTTTCCCTGCAGAGCTTTGAGACTGGCAGGAAGGAGGGCAGAAATTAATCAGAAAGCCTAGTGTGTCGTTGTCAGGTGGAACACCCTACAGCTGACCCAACAAAGTACCCAAGCCAGGCAACTTAAAATAGCACTCAGAACTGCTCAGCACTGAGGGCTAAAAGTTCAAACAGTGAAGCCTATAGGGAATCACCCAGCCTGTCCCTAGCTTCCTGGGGGTGCTGGCAATGCCTGGCCTTGCTTGGTGCAGACACATAATTCCATCCTGCCTTCCCTGTTTCCTTCTGTATCTCTGCACATATCCTGCCCCATCTTGTGGTTCTGTGTTCACATTTCCCTTTTCTGAGGACATCAGTCATATTGGACCTGGGCCCACCTTAACAACAAGCTTGATTACTACTGTACACACGCTGTTTATAAACTCACCGCTTCAGGTACTGAGCATTAGGATTTGAACATTATGGGGGCACAGCTCAACTCATAACCTACATAATGAAAAAATGAAGTAGAAGAGAAGAGACATAAACTGGGTTGGCAGTGTAGCTCAGGGGCAGAGCACTTGCCTGGTATATGCAAGGCCCTGAGTTTGCAAAAACACAAAAAAAATAAAACAGGGAGAAGAGGCATGTTTATATAAGGTAGTCAAGGAAGTGACATTCGAATGGAGAAGGTGAGGCTCAAGTAGACAGCTGAGGAATTAATTATGCCATGGTGAATGTGCAAGAGTGATCAAAATATATGGTGAATTTTTAAATTTTTAAAAAAGTCTTACAGTAAAAGATACACTGCTCTTATTCCCCTTCAAAATACTCCCCTTTGCTTCAAAAACATTTAATCCCATTGTTCTTGCCACATTCTCAAGCAGCTCTGGAAGCCCTCTTTCATTAATGTAAGCTGGTATGATAAAAAATACGGTGAATGAAGCTGCCAAGTAAACTCAGGTTTATAAAAATATAATGCTGTGTCCTTATCCACCTTATTCACTGGATCTGGTGCTGTATGACTTCTAGATCTTTACCCAAAGTCTAAATGATTGTGAAAGGTGACTTTTTAAAATCAATTTAGGCCACTAAATTGAGGCAGCCACAAGGCACAACTAAACACACTCTCAAAAAGACTTCCAGAACTGCTGCAGAAGGCAACAAGAGCAATGGGTTAAGTGTGTTCAAAGCAAGGGGGAGTATTTTGAGAGGAACTAATGACAATGCATCTTTTACTGTATTTAATTTAAGCATTCCCCAATTTTTTGATGATGCGGCCTAACTGCAAAAAGATATACTGTCATGCAAATACAGGATTTTAAGAGCAACAACCATACTATTGCCTTTACTCTTTAAAATATCATCATGGTTATTTTTTTAAAAAGATCTTTTAATATTACAGCCACAAATCATTCTTTTTAACTCAGAACAAGCTGACTAACCTTGGTTAGCTCCTCATCAGCAAGAATAGAACGGGTGCTGACTGATTGTAAACTGAAATGATCATTCCTTAAGTACTCACTATGCAGAAACAGTGACCAGGCCCTCTTCTGACTCCTGGGGACACAGCAACAAACAAAGAGCATGAAACTCTGCCGTCGTGAAGTTTAGTTTCCAAAATGTGCCAATTCTGCATTTGATGTTTCACTATTTCCTGCAGTCTAGAACCTGAAGACCACATGCTTCACGGAGTCAGGACAGCTCCTGAGGACCCATGGAGATGACCTGCCCAGCACTCACCTGACAACAAGGAGCCACACATAACAGTTCCTGACAGGACACCAGCTGGCGCCCCCACACCTTTATCTGCAGAAGTTAAAAATTCCTCCAACTTCACTGTCCTGCTGTTTGCTGTTGTCAAAAACACAACACCATGAACTTTAATGGAAAGAAGTTTGCTTTGATTCAGTTATGGAGGTAACAGGTGGAGGGGCGGTGGCCCTCCTACTGGTGAAGACCCAAGGTGGTACTGGATGTTCCAGGAGGAGGGACAGGAAGTGTTTGTGTGCTCATGCATTCTCTGGTCTCCTGTCTCTTATCGTAAAGCCCCTAGGATCCAGTCCTGGGGCTGCACTCTGATGACCTTGTCTAATCCTGATCGTTCCTAAAAGCTTCCCTTCTAAACGCCATCATCAGGTTAAGTTTCTGCCCTCTTAATCCCTCCCCGTGGGGATACAGCTCCAGAACATGGACCCCAGAGAGAAGAGAGAGAAACTCAAACCATACTCAAACTGCAGCTGTCAGAGTTTCCTGGATCTTCTCTGTCTCATTTCTTTCATTCGAATGGAAAACTCTTGCAGTTATTCACCACGAATATGAGACCGTGCACTTCCTGCTCTCGGGTGATGCTCCCAGCCAGCTGCTCCACCTCCTGCAAGTCTTATATAAAGTATCACCTCCAAATCTTTTCCTAGGAGCTACACTTAAAAGTAAATTTCCTCACTGAGTGTGGTGGCACACACCTGTGATCCCAGCACTTGGGAGGCTGAGACAGGAGGATCACCATGAGTTCAAGGCCAGCCTGGACTACACAATGAATTAAAAGCCAGCCTAAACTACATAGCAAGACCCTTCCTCAAAAAACCAAAACAAAGGGCCAGGGATTTAGCTCAGTGGTTTCGCCTCCTGCTGCGCAAACCCAAGGACCTGAGTTTAATCTCCGGTACCAAAAAAACCAAGGCCCAGGGATCTAGCTCAGTGGTTCCACCGCCTGCCTCACAAGCACAAGGTCCCAAGTTCGATCCCTGATACCAAAACAACAAAACAAAGGTTAAAAAAGTAAACATCCTACCATGTTGCCATCTCAACTGTCTTTTCTCCTCTTCAAAATATGTAACACTATCTTACTTTTTAGCTCACTTATTTTGCTTCTGTCTCTTTCTTCCTGCCAGAATGTAAATTTCACGAAGGCAAAAATCTGCATATCTTTTGATACTACTGTGGCCTCTTGGGTCAGCAGCAAGCCAGGCACTGAGCAATTGGAGAATGAATACTCTAAAGAACAGTCATTTCAACTTAGAATCAGGATCCCCTCTTTTTTGCTAAAGGGGAGTTGAAATTGCCAAAGACAGTTGAAAGCCATCAGTTGGTCCCAAGTAGGGCACATCTGAACACTAATAATAAAACCACTATCTTCAGTTATAGTTGTAGAAAACTGAGAGATTCCTTCAAATTGATGTTGCTCAGACATATTCGTCTTTATGGAGGGTAAGAGTTAGTCTTTAAACTTAACAAGGAAGGGAAGCTTCCAATACACCATGATATGACATCCCGACTTTACACACAGATAAAGCTTGGAGAGTCTGACACAGGGAAGTTCTACCATTATTCCCCTAAAAATCCAGTGTGATCTTTGGATGGAACAAGTGTGTGACTGGTGCATATCTGTGCAACTTTTTAAAATGCAAGCAGATGTCATGACTAATGCATACGGAGGGTTTATGAGCTAGCATGGTAGCATTCATATGCAGGTGTAATTGTAACTGTAAAAATTAAGTATTTGGTGACAAGGAAGTTAGGCAACTTGGAATGATCCTGATTCTGAAAGACTCCCACAGTAAAATAATGTGGTCCGTGTCCAGCTATTTTAAGTCACCAGCAAGGCAGTGATTCTCAACCCCATCTATAAATTAGAACTATGGGGCGGGGTAGCAAGCACTAATTCTTAGTCCTCACCCCTGGACACTCTCCTTGAGAGGGGGACTAAAGGACTAGTCATCTCTTCTGGTTTGCAGGACTGTGGAAAGTCAGTGCAATAAGGAATTGGATGTTCTCTAAGAAGTGGCCAAGAAAACTGCTGACTTACATGTCCAATTTAAAGGATTCTTCCAGAAGCATACTGTCTTCATTGGCATAGAGTTCTCAAAAGGATTTGAGAAAAAGAGGTAGAAGTTACATTTCACCTCCACATATTTGCAACAGGGAGACTTACAGATGTTATTTTGATAGTGGAAATGTAATTATTTGAGCTTATTGAAAGGATATTTGAGATATTCACACAAAAAGATGTTCCCCTCAATTAGGAAGTCACACTGCCAACTCAGAGCCAACTATTTGGGTTCCCTGAAGACTGGAGCCCTCAAGAGTGGTGGGTGTGGTCCCTAGCACAGGGAGCAAAGTCAGCTCAGCCTCAGTTCAACTCCAGGTGTGTTTACTCATTGTGGGCATTTCATTTAACTTCTTCGTGTTTAGAGCTGGGATGACAAAGCCCACTGTGGGAGGACTTGTGGATAGGGTCACTCCATGTGCGTAAGATGGGTCTTACATTCACTCAGGTGAGTCCTGCATGGGAGTTAGGGCTCTGCAGCCATTGTACTGAAATTCTTACCATTTTACCTTGGAGTCTGAGTTTTGCAAAGAAGACCCACAGGACACAGAGCAGGCACTGGAGGTTGGAACCTTGGATCACTTGGTCTTGCTTCTGCCTTCCTCCCCAGGGTGAATTCACAAGAGTACTGTCCTTACCCAGAGCAAGGGCAGTAGCCTTTCATGGTCAACAGGGCCTGGCATGGATGCTGAGAGGTTTGGGGTGGAATGGAAGCACTGCATTCACCAAGACTTGGGGAAGGGGCTTGTGTCCCTGTGAGGGTCTGCATTTGTCCCACAAGTAACCCCATCCCAAGGGGAGTATGATGTTTAAAACCAAACAAAAACCACTATGACATGTAGAGACAGAACCATGGGGAGAAGGGGGAGAGTACATTTCCTGCCATTTGAAGCAGAAGCCTGCCTTTTCATCTTGCTCTGGCCCCTGACAATTATGTAGCTGCCCAGCTGGCACACATAAACTTTTATCAAGCACATTTTTGTGCATACAACATGAGACAAACAGATTGTTTCTAAAGAAGAAAACCTAGCATATACTAGTTTCTCTAAATGTTGGTTTGTTCTCATCCCTGTTGAAGTATTGTTCCCTTCCAACAGCACAAGTTGTTAAAACACTAATGAGCACCTGCCGGGGACCAGACACCTCTCTCCAGACTCATTCAAGAGGTGGAGGGGCGACCTGGTTCTAGAAGGTATCCTGGATGCTCATCCAATCAGTTCTGTTTATTTGGATGTGAAGGGACCTGGCATGGCAACTGCCATCACAGCCTCTGATTGGACTATGAACAAACAGTATCAGTCAATCGTGGAACCAACAGATTCACTTTATGAACCGATGGAAATGGCATTCCCTCTGAGGGAGACTTTTATTCAGAGCAATTAGAAGTTTCTACCCTGAAAATAATTTCAGAATTTGCTCTACCTTTTAGTTTTTTTAAAAAACTCAGGTCAGGTGCAACAAGTAAAGATGATAAGGAGACGAGCAAAGTCCATTTTTTGTCTCCCTTTCTACCTTGACATTGTGAGACAGTTCCCTGCTTGGCCCTGCATTTAGGCATGCTAATTGCTCAGGGAATATCTGTATCGCAGGATTTGTTAGCCCTGACTTTACCTAGTCTATCTCATCTGCCTTCAAGACCGAAGACACCAATCCGACTCTCTCTAAACTGGGACCACCCAGGAGAGACAAGCAGTTTGAAGCTCCGCGCGGCTGTCCCAGGCCACTCCCACGGCACAAGGCACAGTGAGGTCCTCTTAGCCTCGCGGGCGCCTCCAACGCCCAGTCCCCCCACCCCCAGTGCCTCCTACATTCCGGCTTTTCTGCTACCTGGTCCCACACTACAGAGACACAGGAGATTATAAAGACCCTTGTCCTGAGCGCCACAAGGTAGAGCAGAAGTTAGTAACAGAAAGAGAGCCTCTCAGGCTCCTTGATGAAAACTGAAGCTCAGGAGAAAAGTAAAGAGAATCTCTACAATAAAGGCACATCAGACTACTGTACTTGGTCTGCTGCTGGCTTGCTGAGACTCATTGACTTGTATATGCACAGGGATTCCTACATTGCCTACTGTAACAGCAGAGACATA